AATCTTGTTCACCTGTGGGTTCCCGCACTAGGGCCTTAGGACACGGCGGTCCCAGGCAGGTCACCAAAACAACACCCCAACCGGGATAAAGTACACACGAGCCCGGATTCTACCTGCGGCTCAACAACAAGTATTCAATGATGCAGATCGGTCACGCAAGGCCTCGAAAGCTGCTCGAAACACCATGAAGTAGCTTACTAGGACGCCATAGTGCGCAAGAACGATGGACGTGCGGCAAGAGCTTCCTTACTTGGTCAATTTGGAATGAATGTTTTGAGTCGTCAACTTCGAACGTCTTCCAAGCGTCTCTAGTGCTTACGTAATAAGTGGTATCTACATTATGGAGAGTCTCTGCACGCACGACGCGGCGACTGTCTAAACCGCGAGGTTTATCGATACAAATGCGGCCGCGATTCCGGCATTTGTACGGACTCGGCAGTCCGGTCCGGCAGGGCGGAAATGTTTCGTCACACTATCGCGCATGAAAGGCGCGCATCACTTCAACCGCTCTTTGCACGCGGCCAGCCCGGCGCGGCCCATGCGGGCCCTGGCATGCAAGAGGGGGGGCCGATCGCGCTGCTCCGAGGCGCAACCCGTGCCCGCGCGGACTGAGCTGAGTACGTGTCGATTTATTGTCAGAAGCCGTGGCGGCCCATGCAGTACGCGAACATTTGTGTAGCACCGGCTTTCAATATGGCTCATGTGGCGGCAGCGCCCTAGTGAGCGGCTTTTATCATTTATGACAAGTGGAAATTTTGACAGTTCCCGACATGTGCGCTTGGCTTGAGATCAACACAGAATACACGTGCAGATTCATTTGCTGATGTATAGGGATATGATAGTCAGGTATAGCGTCTTTGCCCGATAGCATCATGGATCATCCCAGATCATTTACGGAGTCTGCGGATGCAGTGACTATGCTGCTGCCAGCTCGTGCGCCGGTTCGTACGTATGTAAACGAGGCAATATTTGATGCATCATCAACAGAGTCTCCGAAACTTTTGCTAAGGTTGCAGTCCCGTCGCAGCACATCCAGATTCACATCTCATTCAAACGGGTACGAGTCAATCCCAACCAATCCAGCCGGGAAAAAAGCCCCGTTCAGCTGGCTGCTGGATGGTCACCTTAGATAATATACAAGCTGTTACAGCGGCTGATCACATGTACTTGACAGTTAAGTCGACGATCCGGGCCTTCAGAGTCTTCATAAGCAGTCGGAAACGTGCGGCCTCGTTGCTGATCTCCAGGAACTGCATGCCGAAAAGAGACGGAAGCAGCGCTTTAGTGACGGACGTTGACGGACGTAGATTTCCAAAGAGGTTTTAGGGCTGTGTAAACTCAGCATAAACGTTCTTAAGTGCGTCTCAAACAACGGCAAGTTATCTGGTCACAAGAGACGACCTGGGGTTCAACTGTGGCGCGCCAAAAGGTGGTGCCAAATTTTGCGATTAAATCTGCGCAAGTTTAAGGCCGGATTTGAGTCTATCTCCAGGAAACTTTCTCGCCGACGCAATTTCACGGCATCGGGCCAGGAGATCTTCTTGACCGATTGTTGTACGACCGGTAGAAGCGCAGCATCCACGGGCGAGCGACAGCAATGATTTTGAAACGGCATGCTCAGGTGAGTATCGTCACCCCTGCGCAAAAATCAGGTTCGCAAAGCCACCCACCTTTGCGTTCAAACTTTTGCACTTTATGCACGGCCTTATCGCACTGCAAGCTGTCCCCTCGTTCTTCCCCTCCCCGGATCCACCAGCCAATCCACCCCCCTGCACCGAAGCCCCGCACCGTAATACCCGCCGAATCGCCTCGTTCCGTTCCGCCAGCTTCTGGAGATCCGCCCGCATCTGCCCGCAAACCTCCTCCAGCGCCCGGAGCTCCGCGTCCCTGCCACTTGGCAGTTTCTCCTGCTGCCACGTGGCTCCGGAGAGCTCCGAATCCGTTCCGGGAGGTACCGACTTACACGCCTCTTTCAGTTGGGCGTGGACTTGCCTCACCCCCTCGAGACACGCCGCCAGCGACGTCTCCGCGAGGCTCTCGAGGGGATCCCCCCGGCTGACGTCACGCCGGCTGACGTCACGCGACTCGTCCGACTCGGACGCCCGCGCCACGTGCTCCTGCAGCGAGTGCATCTGCGCCAGCAGCTCCCCGAGGCCATTCTGGGCGACCCGCAGCTGTGCCTCCGCCCCTTCCGTGGTCGCCCTCCCGGCTTTGTCCGGTTCAAACGTCCGAATTAAGCCGTCCGAACGCCCGGCGCTTGAATTTTGTAACAGCTGTTGGTCGGGCGTTGTTCGAAAAATTGCACTGTCTTTTTGATAAAGTGGATCCCAGCTCCGACTTGGAACGTCGGGCGGAGTAGCACTCTCAGTGGGCGTCCGAACACGCTCCTCCATCCGATGGACGTCCGCGGAAACCCGTGCCTGACCAACAGACGTTCTCGCCCGTCTGATTACGGCTTCCATTCCCTTGCCGCCGTTCTGCGAAGGAGACCCTCGCGATTCTGGCAACGAGGACCTCACACAATCAAGTGTATTGACGCCGCCCCTCCTGCTCACTTCGTCAAACCCGTCGAGCTTATTCACACCGTCCCTCGACTCCACCGTCTCAGCCCTTGTGAAATCATCCAAACTGCCCCTGGTTGCGAGCCCATTTACACCGCTCTTCGCACCCGTCACTTCAAGCTTCAACCCCAGCCACCTCCGCTCTAGTTCCGCCAATTCACCCCTCGTCTTGCTTAACTCCTGCTTCGCGTCCCTAACCTCCTCCTTAACCCGCCTGTAAGTTCCCTTCGCTTGCTCTGTTTCGCCTTTAAGCAGCCGTAACTTCGCCTCCGCCGCGCCAACTCACTCCTTGACCCGCTCAATATCTTTCCCGGCGACCTTAAACTCCTTCTTAACCTGGTCCAGCTGAGCACCCTCGTTAGCTAACCGGTCGATTAGTGCATGAACCTGACCAGTCAACTCTTCGCACTGCGCCTCCAGCTCCACTTTCTGCCCGCGTCTCTTCCCGACCCCCTCCGCCATTGCCCGTGCTTCCTCTCTCAGAACCTTTAGCTTTCCCTCTTCCGCTGCCGCAGCCTCCTTCGCAGACTTCACCCTCGCCTCCAAAACCCTTACCCGTTCCTCCTTCCGCAAAACCCGCTCCTCTAACCCTCGGATGCCCTCCGCAACTTTCGCCATCTCTTCACTCACTTCCCCCCCTCCCAACGCTTCCAACGCGCGCTCCAAGTCGTCAGCGAGGGATCCCTCTTGCGTCACCCCGTCCTCCTCGCCCCCACGTGGGTTAGCCAGAACCATCTGCTCTAACCGCCTCTTGACCGCTTCTAACGCAACCCCAGCAGCCCTCGCTTGCGCCTGCGCCTCTTCCGCTTCCCGTCGCGCATTGAATGCCGTCTCCTTGAGCAGGGCCAGCTCATCGCGTGCCACGTCAGCATCTTGAAAGGCCCGAAGGGCGCGCTCCTCCTGGTTTTGGCATTCGCGGCGACTCGCCAGCAGGTGGACCTGCAAGATGGTCGCCATGAGAATATACGGTCAGATTTGCTAAGCAGAAGAAGAAAGGGCAACTGATAGAGCTGTGTAGAGCAACTTTCATACGGTTATCCTTTACATTAACCGTACTTATGACAGTACAGAAGGTGTAGCCATCTACGGGAACGCTCGTTCAGAGCTGAAATACAAGTGCGTTCGCTGGAAGAAGCTTCCATTGGCTGGAGAAGAACATGCTTGTCGCTCTTTTTTGTGATCTGCCCAGCATTCCGTGTGCGGATGAGAAGGACCAGCCATCGACTATCAAAACAACGTCTTTGGTACCTCGGGTGCTTAAGCTGGAAGTAAAGACCGCCCCGGAACGCTAATAGCAGCTTTTCTGACATGCCTTTCATACGAAGAGCGAAAACAAAACGCATGTTCTCAGATGGTGTCGTTCGAAACGAAACAGATCGCTGAAAAAGGTCGTCTTGAAAAGAAAGTGTGGATGATGCAAGAACGAGAAAAGGGTTATCATCAGTTAGAGAAGCGAAAGTAGAAGGTTTCCAAGTAGATGAATGCAAAGGCGTCCTCGAAGAAGCCCTGTAGGTGATGCCTAAAAGAGGACAGCCTTGCCAACAACAGGAAGACGAATGTTGCTATAGTAAAAAGGTGAAGCGAATAGCGTACCTGCACGTCCATAAGCTCTCCTTGCAGCGACGCCAGCTTCTCTTCCAGCGCCGCCCAAGCCTCCTTTTCCGCTGCACCGTTCCCGCCCCACTCCGCTTCGTTCCGGTCGGAATCCGGCCTCTCCTTTCCGGCGGACAGCTCATGCAGCTGGGCACGTGCCTCGGCCAGCTGGCGCTCTGCTACCTCACGTTCGCACCCGAGCTGAATAATCGAGGAGGTGGTTAATAAGTTTATGTTTGAGCGCGACCAGTTTTGCACGGGAATTTGCCTGCAAAGATGTGTAAGGTGGCGCTGTGAAAGCGATCCTTGACCTGCCGAAAGATGGAAAAATTTCATAATCAGTTCCATTGGTCAAGGTGCTCATTTTAAAAGACGTTTGGTTGTAAGGTCTGGGGTGGCGCTTCAAGTTGGAAAGGCCGGCCAATCACAAGAGCTCGTGACAAGCAGAGACTCCGGGATTCTCTATGTAGGAACATAGACTCCGCGATTCAGATTATTCGGATCAAAATAAAATCAAGCGGACCCCAGCAATAGCAAGAGGTGCCTTTTTGAAGAAAGCAGTATCAAATTCAGCGTTCCGCAGGAATACGCGATTCGACAAAGTCATCACTGCCGTCAGAAGCCGGACGACCGCCACCTGGCTCTCTTTGAGCCGCAAAGCCCCGTTCCGCCGGTCCCATTCCGGTCGGCTGGACTCTTGGGCCGGACGTTGCACGTCCGTTGCCGCCCCAACCGCTCCGACTGACACGTGGAGCCCTCTTAGAGCCGCCTCTGCCGCCCGCCGCTGCTCCCGCGCTCTCTCAAGAAGCTTCAGCAACCCCTGGTGTTTCCCAGCCCTCCCCGAAACCCTCTTGACTTCCTCCCGGTTACCAGGTCCGTCGGTGTCACTTCCTTCCCCTCCAACAAGCAGTGCTTTACAAACGCGCACTAATGTCACGAGGAAGCTGAAGGCACACTGGGCGTTCCGTTGGCTTTCTAGCGCTGCAAGCAGGCCCTCTTGCGGGTCCAACTCTGGCCCCAAACCTTCCCCCCGCGAGTTTCTGGAGGGTTCCCTCGCCGGAGAGCAGTCCTGATCCCCGCCCTTGTGGAAATGGGTAAACCCTGCACCGTCTGTTCGATTCTGCCCCTCCCCCGTTCCGCTCGTCCGCTCTTGTTCCGTCGCTGCTCCGTCCGTCGTCTTGACCTCCTCCCGTCCGCCCTCATCGACTGCCTCCCAATTTTGCTCCAGCAGATTCCGCTCTCGTTCTGTTCGCTCGAAGTTCAGCCCTGTCCGCTCCCCCTCCGCTCTCCCCGTTGCTCCCTCTTCTCGCAATTGCTGCTCCGTTTCCGTTCGCCGTTCCGTTCCGTTCCCCTTCCGCTCTTCCTGCACCCACATTTCTCCTTGCACTCCAGGCACTTCCCTCGTTCCCTCCTCTCTCATCCGGACTGCACGTTGCATTCTTTCCAGCTCCCCCCGTAATCTGCTCAGTTCCTCATCCTGCCGTTGAACGACGTTTACAAGCTCCCCCACACCCCGTCCCTCAGCATCGCCCGTTGCACTTTCTCCCAGCCGCTGTCCGCGCACCTTCAAAGTGCCCGGTCCAGTGTCTACCGGGCGCCCTGCGTCCAGCTTTGAACTACCCGGTTCACCTTCTACCGAGCGCTGTCCGTCCACCTCCAGATTCCGCGGTTCATTTTCTGCCAGGGGCCGTTCCGCTGCCCCGAAACTACCCGGTTCAACCCCTGCCCTATCTTCTCCGTCCACCTCAGAACAGCCCGGCTCGTTCGTTCCCGGGCCCCTTCCGCCGACCAGCCCCCCAGCTTCCCGCTCGGAATATTCCTCACCAATCCCCTCTCCCCGGGTTCTGATGGCGTCGCCCAGATACGCCCCTTCCCCTCCTCTGACAACACACTCCGAAGCCATGGCGTCACCTTCCTGAGAACGCATGTCCATCCCAGTGCTTACGTCTCTAGTTTCTGCGCCCGTCTGCCGATTACGGGGCAGTTCCGCTTCAAGCACCTCATCGTTTCCGGCAGGCGAGAGAGAGATTCCGCTCTCGGAGCAAGGCACCCCGGGTTCGGGGTTTGGAACTGGGGAGGGGGCTGGGGCGGCGGGGGCGCTCAAAACCCGCTTCTCCATCTCGTCCTGCCAGCGCTCGAGCCGCTCTCTCTCCGCCTTTTCGGCCTCGAGCAGACCTGCACGCACCAGTCGAGAAGCGGATCAGACACTTCACTCCTGCATGATGCCCCCACCGCAACAGGATTCTGCAAGCGGTTTCTGGCTTTTGACTCTCATCTTCCCTCTGCTAGCTCCCCCTTGAGTAGACGGGACGGACTCCAAGCATGCAGTATCCGAAGAATAGCCCTCCGAAACAATGAAGAACCAAGCAACTGTTCAAGGATTTCGGCTGACTCTCAGGGCTTCCCCCAAAATATCGATACTGCCATCTCAAGCATTCATCACAGTGACGGGTCAATTATTCGAACACGTTGTGTTAGAAATGAGGAGATATCCTGAGAGGAACTGGTTTGCCAGTCCCTCCTATTGATTCACTGCCCCGCAACACATGAAGAATGATCCACACTCCTTCAGGGCCCCTCATGCGCGTCATTTCTGCCCTTCTGTGCGCTCAGGAAAAACAATCAAATACATCTGTCTTCGGAATTTTCTGCTAAGCACTCTCCAGACTCCAGATTCGAATCCACAACCCAGACAAGTTCACCATCAAGAGGAAACGAAATCATCATCATCGGGCAGTCAAGACACGGGCTAGACTCCGGAGAGAAGTAGCTGTAACGGATCATGTCACACCCACCTGTCAGTGCTGCCACCTGGCACTCCAGCGTGCGGCACCGCCGCCGCAGAACATCCCCATCCACGTTCCCTTCTCTCTCCTGAGCGCCTAGTCTAAGGGCGTCCGAAACCCCACGAACGTCTAAGTTGCGGACTCCGGACGTTCTCTTGCGCCCACCTTTCGTGGAGTCCTTCGGAGATTCCAAGCCCACGGTGTTGCTCGAAACGGGCGCCAGAGCCGGACGTCCGGAGACTGTCCGGCCGCTCTGGATTCAGACGGGGCTGCTGAGCTGGAGGGTATCGCGAACTAGCAAAGGGGGCTTTCTCTAGGCACGCTCTCGGGCTAGATGAGAGCGGGCTGGGGTCAGTGCCGGTTTAGGAGTTAGTTAGCGGGCGGGATAGTGGAAGACCCAGGTCGCACTGTACGGAAGCGTCCGCAAGCTCGCGCAGTTCGGAGTGGGTTTCGGCCTCCGAATAGTGGGGCCCCGCTGCTGCCTAGGACGCAAAGCAACGGCTGCAGAGTGCACGTTCTTCCCGGCCGGTGAGCTCAGCGCTGACGTCAGCGGCTCCCCCTCATGCAGGCCGCGCGCTCTCAGGCGATGCCCCTAGCATGGCGTCAGCATATCAGTAGCTAACCGCTCCCGGGCTTGGGTTAAGGGCTCGGTCAGGGTAACCCCGGGGTTGTGAGCAGGGAGTGCTGATGCGGAATGGAGCTCGGAGCCAGAGACTCTCCCTGCTGGGAGGGTCTGCGGCATCCGCGAGCGAGGGGAGCTGGAGCGCAAGCGCGCTGAGCAGAGTGTCACCATGGACTACTTCGAGTGCGCCAAGCGCGAGCGCGAGCGGCCGCTACTAACTGCTCGAAATCTTCATGCAGACAGTGACTGCGAGACAACGAGGTCTGCTACAACCAGCAGGAGGACGTGATGGCACACCATCTTTATTGTATAATTGGACTTGCATTGTGCATCAGAGCAGACCGGGAAAGAGAAAGTAATGCACTTTGACAACGTCTATGCTGTTCTCATTGACGGTTGCAGCTTATCATGTGATTGAAAAGATGGGTCTCTCTGTGATTTATCAACATTGAGTGGCTATCAAGGAGAATTCCCCAGTACATTTGCACTCTATACTGTAAGGTCAGACACAGTGACGGTGGATCAGGTCATTCAGCTTATATCCTGCTAACGCCTCATTCGCTTCTCCAGGCGAGTTCCTATCAATCTCAATCGAACACGGATGGTACGTTGATTCACTAGATGGCTCATGTCGAAGTACTCAAAATAAATCTCGTTTGACTTCCTGATATATAACCCAACACGGCTCACAAGCCTCTCTAGATTCTCAGGTGCTCTCAACTGGCGTCCGCCCGAGCCCCGGTCCGTGTCCTTCTGAACTATTCTCACCGACAGACGATCCTATCCCCTGGTCCCTGCGCAATGCTAGTGCAGCCACCTGCAGTTTCAAAGAGACGTTAACATCTCACTGGAAACATCTTACTTTCCAACAGAGAAGCGTGACTAAGCGAAGGACCAAAGAGACGCGCGGAAGTCAGCGAGTAGCTTGTCTGACCATCTGACGTCGGTATAAATGCATTTACTGGGGTCTTTTCGAGAGTTTCAAGCATTCGACGATAAGAAGTTTGGCTCCTAACCGATAAAGGAGCTTGCAACTTACGAACAACGATCAGACAGGAAGCGAGAGGGATCATTACTGCTAACTCAGATGGTTGACCTAGTTGACTACTCACTTGGCTCATTTCACAGACTCAGGAATTCTGAGGCACATGCGGCTTGTTCGTGTGAAGCTTTTAACAAACAATGATGTGAACGCATCTGAAGGCCTGCAGGATCGATCGGAAATGAGTCCGTCAATGAGCGCCTTACTTGACAGAATTAATATTGCTTAATGAAAGCGGGAAGCAACCACCCTCTCCGGGCGCAACAAAAACTAGATTTTTGCCCGCAACCAGAAGTTCCATGAATCTACTCCGACAAAGAAGATATGAAGATACGCAGAGCTGTTTAAAGTCTTGGGTGCAAGCTTTCCTACAAACTTAAGATTGAGGTAACCTTGAGCGCTTCCAAGGTGGTACATAAGGCCCGCTGCCCCATCAGTAACTCCTTCCTTTCATAGAATGCCGTCGCTCTCCGCTTTAGAAACAGTCAGAAAGTCGAAAGCGACATATGCTAAGAAGCTAGAACACATGTCCGCATATGTCCTAGTGTCAGCCAGTCGAGGTAAAGCCATCCAAATTTCATCAGCCGAAGAAGAAAGCACCGAGTAAGTTTTGTGACGCACCTCTTTTTCGGCAGCCTCTAACGAGGACCTCGTGGTTCTGGTATCGAAGTGCTCAAGGCCTAGCGCCTTCTCCCGGATCCCAAGTGCCCTCTTGTAGAACGGGAGGGCCTCCTCGTACCTGTTTTGACCGTAAAGCAGATTCGCTATGTGGTTCGATGTTGAGGCCACGCGGGGATGGTCCAATCCCAGGGCCTTCTCTCGGATTGCAAGCGCCCTCTCAAACAGCCGAAGGGCCTCCTCGTTTCTGCCCTGGCCCGTGAGCAGGCCCGCCATGTTGTGCAATACCCTGCCCACCTCGGGGTGATCCGGGCCCAAAGCCTCCTCCTGAATGCGCAGACTTCGCTCAAACCGTGGCCGCGCCTCCTCGTATTTGCCTTGGCGCACGAGCATGCGCGCCATATTGTTCAATGTGGTGGCCACGCTGAGGTGATCCGGTCCCAGAGCCTTCTCATATATGCGCAGGGCCATCTGGTATAGCGGTAGTGCCTCCTCAAAGTTGCCTTGGTCCACGAGCACGCCCGCCATCTTAATTAACGTGGCGGCCACGTGGGTGTGGATTGGACCTAGAGCCCTCTCCCTGACACGCCGGCTTCGCTCGTACAACTGAAGCGCTTCCGCATGCCTCCCTTGTTTTTTGTAGATTGAAGCTCGGACATGCCACGCACTTGCCAGATCCAGACTCGGATTTGCCGAGTGTGTCCATCCGTCAAGAATTACGGCCTCACGCTTGGCATCAACCTCAGCCTGAGGGTCCGGGCTCCCAGCTTGCCGTCTAAAGCAGGAAAGCAACCAGTTGCCCCTAGGTTTTAGGTTTCTCTCGGAAGGAGAAGCTGCGTCTCTAAGCTCGAGTTCCTTGATGACGGCCTCAGCTACTTCTGCAGCTCGAGTGTATTCCCCTGTCAAGTCGAGGGCCTGAGCAAGGTCGAGCCTCCACTCCCAACCCCGAGGACCCTCCCCCAGTCTCTGGAGACCGCTCTCGAGCACCGCCTTAGCCGTGCTGTAATCGCCACCACCTTCTCGGAGATAGGCTGCGTACTTTTCCCCCAGCTCATGGACAATCCCCAACTCCGAAACGTCGAGAGCGTCCATGCCCATGACTACCACGTCCCAAACCCCTTTGAACTGCTGTACCGTCTCTGCGTCGCACCCCATCCGCGCAACCGCAGCCAGGGTTACTGCTCTCGCCGTGTCCGCCCCTTCCTGGCGCCTCACGTACTCAAGGAAGAGCACGTGGAACGTTAGGGTCAGACAGCCTGCATGAGGAAGGCATGGCTTCAGTAAAGCGCGCACATAAATCGTGGATGCACCTGAGCTGTGAAGAAAGAACTGTCTTTTTATACAGAACACAAACACAGAAGACAGAAACATCGAAACGAAAGTCGTCAAAAGTCGTCAGCGAGAAACGGGACGAGAAGATGAAGGGTTTATGTTCTTTAGCGCCACAACTGATGAGTGACTTTCTGTACGCCTTGGCGAATCATTCACTGGTCTAGAGGGTGAGTACCATCCCCGACGGCTGAACGGCTCCGATGCGCCTTCACCTGAGCTAACAGCAGCCTTCAATACCATCGTTCCTGTGAGTTCTGTTTTCGATGCAGCTCGTTTCACCGCACATCGTTGAAAGCCATCGCGGAGCAAAAGCACATGGGTGAGCTGATTTGTTCATTCGTAAGCAGCTTGACCAATGCACATCCTCAAGGTCAGTGACCTCTTCCTTCTATACCAGCTTCTGCGACGTCCCATCAAGGTCAACACATTGTCAAATGTCTGGATTCTGTGCGATTAAGAAGGCTTATTTGATTGCTGATCCAACAAGCGGCATAGGTGATCAAGGTCGGAAACAAGTACCGACCTTTTTGGGGAGCCGTGTCGTTCTGTACTCCTGCTTCCCCTGACCCTGCTCCCAGTTGTGCAGGCAAATAGTGGCTAACTCGGAGAAGGGCCTTGCGTGTCAGCGTCTTGTTTTCCCAAGGGCTGGCACCGTCTGCATCCCCATAGACTGCAACATGGTATCTGTAGATCGGACAGCCCGAGTAAGTCACTTTTCCTTCACAGCGAAGCACATCAGCCGGTCGTTCGGAGATGTAGCTGATGTCAAAGCTGACACAACACTTCTCAAAGCACGCCACCTGAACTTTGATGATGCTCAGGCTTTCATAGCCCTTTAAATTTTTTTGTCAAGAGCTATCCGCTGGATTGCTAAGGCACTCGAAAATTGCAGCTTGATTGCAGGGTAGATCAGACGAGGTTCCGCCAAAGACTTCCCCCAAAGAGTGTGCTGCTAGGACGTACATGGAAAGGAAACGCGTCATAGAAAAATCTTGAGGCGATGAAAATTTGGGAAAATTGATTCCATGTATTGTTCATTCCAACCCAGTCACTAAACTGGATATGGATGCGACTAGCACAACGCGTAATCCTTTTCAAAGAAATGAGCATGCCTCTCCCTATCCCCATATGCAGGCCTGGCACCATCTTTCTTGTAGTTCAAAACAGAAGAAGTCAGTTCGATTGAAGTATCTTAGTTTAGATCCGAAACTTAGAAAAGAGAGGAAAAGTATCCAGTATCGTACAGATGCAAAGCCAACAAGATAGTGCTTGTCCCCAGATGGATTTCAGATGCGCCTGGAACCCATCCAGATTGGGTGGTACTTTATTCGAGCAGAATGCCTGCAAAGTAGAAGGACCCCTTCCTGCTTAGCAAGGAAGGAGATACAAAGCCTCAAGCTTATTTGAGAAGCCCGAAGGACGACTTGTAAGCATTGGACTCACAGAGACGTGACCAACTGTTTCGTTTTGCAACCTGTCCAAACAAGAGCCAAGAAGCAGGCTTCATATTTCTTCACCACAAAACCTACTCTTTTGCAGCTTCCAGCAGGTGCTGAGTGCTGACAGGCCCTTCCCCAAACCACCCGGCCACCATGGCAATGGAGGTGGCAGACCGGCACACGTCAGGCCCGTCCTCGCCGGTGGTTGAGTTCTGCAGGCTGTAAAGACTGAGCCCAAACAGCTTATTTGCCGGCCCCACACCCCTTAGCACTCCCAGCTCTGCTAGAAGCTCCCCCACTGGATCCTGCTCAAAGCGCCGCTCTTTTAGCAAGGGGACCGCTCCAGCCAGGGCAATCGTCAGGTACCCCGGCCGCTTTGCCAGCTCATCGAGCTTCTTCTCAATTTCCGCACCCAGCGCTGCGTTCTCTGCAGCCAGACCTTTCATGAGAAGCGCACGGGCTTGATTCTCGCTGAGGCTCTCGATGGCTAGGGGAATTGCCCCATGCTGCCGGAGGGCCCAGTCATCTGTGGTTGTTACCAGCACGTGGCATGCTTGGCCCTCACTTGGCAGGAGCTTCTCCACCTCTGAGACATCATCTCCGTTGGCGCCATCAAACACTAGTAGGAATGGCTCTGTGAGGTTTTGCACCGTCAGCCGGACCCGCTTCACGTAGTCCTCTAGTTGCTCGCTGGAGGCTCGCGTCAACCCTAGCACGTCTTCCCCTAACTCCCCATAGCCGCCCTGCACCCCTTTGCCTTGCACGTCCACCCACAGCACCCTCCCATACCGGCTGAGGTTTTCCTGGCAGTGCTTGCGCGCCAACTGCGTCTTGCCGATGCCCCTAATCCCCCAGAGGCACACAACAGTCTGAGACCCCGCGCTGGTCCCTGCACCACCCCACAGCGTGTCGTGCATCCGCTTCAGGATCTCCTCCCGCCCCGCAAAGAGAGGGTCCACCTTCGCCACATTGTGCTTGGCTTTGATCGCCTCCGGTCTGCTTGACAGCAACAGGGCGAGTACCTGGTTCAACTTCTCAACATTTGACAGAGTCGCTTCCAGCCCAAGCTTGGTCCTCACTTCCTTCAAAGTGTCCAGCTTACCCTTCAACTTCGCCTCATAGGGCGCCGCAAGAAAGAAGCGGTTGCCCCACCCCTTCCCCTTGATTGTCTGCGCGAGCAAGTCTGCCTCCAATATGGTCTTCTTGAGTTCTAGAAGCGAGGCCGCCGCTCGAGGCTCACCCGCAAGGACCTTTTCCAAATCCTGCTTTCGGAACCATCCTAGGGTTTCCGCCATTGTCTTGTCGACAATGCTGGCCACAACAGAGTGCTTGTCAACCTGATCCAACAGTGACTTGGTCAGCTGCGCTACAAAGCCAATGTAGGGCACCGCAGTCAGGCCATCCAACACCCCCCCCATTGCACTGGAAACTGCCTCCAAGGCGTCCTTGTTGTTTGACATTGCCATTCGAACATCTTTCAGCTTGCCAGCTACAAAGAGGGCTGCGTCATTTATAACTTTTGCCTTTTCCAGTGCGTCCAAGGGGGGTTTGGAAACAGCGGCACTGTCTTCATTGCTGACGGACCCCTCTTCCTGCTTGGCTGCCATGATTGGGCCAGCCCTCAGCAGGTTCTGATAGACAGGCTCTGCGGAGGCCCTAGCACCGTTTACAGGATTCAGACTTCTGTGGGTCGAAGCTAGTTGGGCAGCCTGCTAATTGAGGCAAGGTCATCAGGCCTGCCCGCAACACTTAGCAATGTGGTGAGGGCCAATGAGCGCATATATAGATTCCTGCAAGATCAGGGCACGTAGGATCAGGAATGACATGGGGGAACTCTTGTGGGAAGCGTGCAAGTGCTAGGCATACCCAAAGGTGCCTCCTTTATGCCGTGAACAAATTCACAGACCCAGATGAATGCAAAACCATGAAAGCTCTCTTGTTGCTTTAGCACAGGGGAGAAAGCTTGAAAGCTTTTTTTTTTTTTTTTTTTTTTTTTTTTTTTTAAAAATAAAAATACCGT